TGACGTTGCCAAAGCACTAGATAAAAACAAGACGCAAAATTCTTATACGCTATTTTTATTTATCCAAAGAACGTATCTCATTCCATTGCGTCGGACCTTAGGTCCCCAGCAAATATCACGTCGCATTGAACACAGTACAGAATAGTACACAGTATACAATGCCGTATGAATGCTCAGGTACACAGATTTTACGAAAGCAAGAAAGAACTCTTCTCAAATGCAAGTCACTCATAATCCTACATAGGGACTTAACTACACACGTACTCATGCAATAGAACATATTTATATTAACATCTTTTGTATTTAGTTTAATCACGTAATTATGGGCACGTGGCCGAGTGGTTAGAACGTAATAATTTTAACCATGAGACCGGGGTTCAAATCTCACCATGGAAGACTTCCTGATGTTATTGGACTGGTGTGGACGATCTCAGCGTGTGGTACCTTTCGAAAATGCCACGGGTTGACCCAAGCTTTTTGAGTGAAAATGGGGCCCGTCGATAGCTCTGCACAAGTCATCGTGGCCGAGGGTTTGAGCGTCCTGGCCTTGTTCAAATTGTTGATCAGGCGAGATAAGAGTAAGGTCTTTCCCAGCATAGTTGCTTTATAAATCACAGGTCGGCTCTGTGGGTGTTGAATAAATAGAAATGCGCCTGAGCAAGCGTCTGCAAAAGGGATTGGCTAGCCACCCTAGTAGACGGGCATCCACGAATACGAGTAGACAGCTATAGACAGGTAATTAAATATGTGGTTAACTGTAAATATTTGTTTACATATCCTTATATTGTTGTTCGAAGAAACTCAATGTCTTATCCCGAAATATACCACCACAAGCAAACAGACGTACGAAAAGGGACATTCGGGTTAATATATATCAGTTAATGGATAAATGTCATTCAAAGGAAGGTGTTAGTTCTTTTAATATGTTGGTGTGAAGAAGTTTCGAGTTGGGTCCAAGAAAGACTGATGTTATCAGATAAAATACGTGTGCAGTTGTGTATGTGTGTGGAGGAAGGAGAGGGCAAAGTGTCAATATAAAAATAAAATTAAATTGGCAAACTAGGTTCAAATAATACAATAACCTGGAGCAAGGTCAGCAAAATCCATGAGGTCAGTATTCATGGGAATCTTACCATTCATACTGACAGACATAGAAAAGTGAATAGACCAGGTACTTTACCATTCATACTGACAGACATAGAAAAGCGAATAGCTCAGAAACTTTACCATTCATACTGACAGACATAGAAAAGTTAAGAGGCCAGGGATTTTACCAATCATACTGACGGATATAGAAAAGATAGTCGGATATTGATTTTGCCACTCATACTGAAAGTCATAGAAATATAATCGATCAAGAGATTTTATTATACACACTGGCAGTCAAAAGCTATTAGACCAGGGATTTTACTATTTATACTGACAAGCATAGGAAAGCTAGTATGTCGGGGATTTTACCATTCAAACAGACATAGAATAGCTAATAGATTAATCATTCCGACATAGAAAAGCTAAGATATCAGGGATTTTACCATTCATACCGGCAGTCCAAGATTTGTGATTAAAGATTACCAACAAGATAAAATGGCTGTGTCATCAGTTAAAATATCCGTTAAAGAATAGTACAAAATGAAATAATGTAAGTATCTTTAGATTGAAATGAAAACCCGTGCCGCTTTGAAACTAATGTTATACCCATAATAATTGGAACACTGGGTTCAAACAAAACAAGCACAGACAAAACAATAGCAAGATCTAGCTGCTTCTGTTTAAAAGAGATTGAAAATAATTGCACTGTGTGGAACTTTTCATCTCTATAGGGGAGTATTATCAATGCAAAGCATATTTTTTTTAAGCGTTTCACCCTAAGCAAGGCGGGAAGCCACTAGGACGCAAAGGCTTACAGAAGATTTGGAACAAGATCAGATGGGAGTGATAGAGGAATGGATGAGGAGAAGGATAGTGGATAGATCAAGACAACTGGAGATGTCGATTGACATTACACTTGAAAAGTTGGAGATTATAGCTCTCAGGGAAACTGGAATAGGGAAGGGTGTTCCACGGGCGAGAGGTGCGAGGTATGAAGCTATTGGAGTAGAAGAGACGGCTACATTTAAAAATTTCTACAGTGAAAGGGTGAGAGCGGGATGCCAGCCTCGTAGGGCGCTTGAATTCATGGAGTCTGGGAACCAGCGAATGCAGCTCCTCGGAGCAATTATCATGAAAGTATTTGTAAAAAAGACAGAGAGAAGCGACGGCGCGTCTGTGAAAGATTGACTGTAGAAGAGATGCCAGAACAGGGCCAATTATATTGCATATCCACCTCTGGATCTTATCAAGAACCCCAAGGCAAATAGAAGGGGCTCCAGACCATATATAGCAGCAATACTCCATGCAAGGGCGAATGGTTGATTTGTAGATTTTAAGGATCGATTCCGGGGAGAAAAATTTCCTGGCGCGGCACAGGGAGCCAAATTTTCCTTGCGGTGGACGAAGTAATTGACTCAATGTATTTGTTCCATCTCAGGCCAGCCGTTAACGTGAGACCGAGCAGCCGCAGAGCGGTGGTTTCAAGAAGTTGAGCGTCATACATTCTAATGGAGGGCAAGGACGGATCTTCTGGTGAATAATAGAGAGCAGTTTTGTTTTTGCAGCATTAAAGTTGACCAACCAATTCCTGTCCCAGTTCACAACCGATTGGATGTCCTTTTCGAGACGTAAGACCAGGTTAGTTTTGTCAGCGACACTAGATTTGTTTTTGAGACAGGAGTAAATTGTAGTGTCATCCGCGTAGATGCCCACTTAACTCTGTCAATGTTACACTTCACATCAGAATTTAAGCAAAGAGGAGGCATATATCTGCTCCATTGGGAAAGGCGGGAATCCATTTTTTCTGTCTTCAAATCTATCAGTTAACTAGCAAGGTAGATTGGTTTTTCTAGTCTCGTACAACAACCAGATTCAAGGGAAGTGAAACTCTATATTCCAAAGCATGGAGAAGACACCAGGAAATACATTTCTGACTATTTTCCCTAAGAATGTATAGAATATTCATAGAGGATAAAGAAAAGGAAGCTGTGAAGAGCATTGATTTCTTACCTCTTGAAATAACAGTTGCATTTTTTTTAATATGGTGATTTTACAAACGTAGGCACGGTGGAGTAATCGATAACGGCTCGGATTGAGGAATCGGGGAGCCGAGTTCGCATTCCAGTCGGATTCATTACGTTCATTTACATGCTACAGTTGGGAAAGGTATGAATCCTCTTCTTCTTCCCCCAGCTATGAACAGAACCGGGTGGCAACTGCAGAATGAAATGGCAACCTACTGCGGGAAAAAAAATCTGCCTCGTCAGTCATGTATCGAAAGTTACATGACTGATACGTGTATTAAGCATGGCACATAACTGACTGATCTTAGACGTGACACAAAGCCGAAAATATGGGGCATCCAGTGGGGATCGAACTCACCACTCAGTTGTAATCTTTCTAGCGAGAGAAACTTGCTAACCATTGCTCGCGTTTTAGTTTTTTTTTTTTTTTAATATGACGGACTAAAAACGAACAAGTTTGAGAAAGGTCGGAAAAAGAACCGATCGAACGTGAAGAATAAAAATAAAAGAAAGAATGAAGACAAGGTTGTCCTTCTTTTTCTCAAAATATATGAACATATATTATAAAAAGATTTAACGCTACTTAGTAACGATAGTAGAATATATATATATATATATATATATATATATATATATATATATATATATATATATTATATTATATAACTAATAAATGATAACTTCAGTGGCTCCAAACTCGATTTGAACCTCTAAATGTATGCTGAATGCGATTTAATCACATTCAAGAATTTATTTAGCATAAAAGAGATTATTTCCTATTGATTCATCGACTTAAAAAATACCATCGTCATCGAATGTTGATGGTTTGCCATTTAAAGTACGTGAGTCATATCTGACTGCTGGCCATGATCAAGATCTAATCCTCTTCGATTCTTTCTTTATGGAGGCATTGTGACCCAAAGCAATCAATGTAGAGAGTAGAGGAGAATAGGGTGATAAGTAAGAGAAGAGAGAGAGAGAGAGAGAGAGAGAGAGAGAGACAGACAGAGATAGATAGATAGATAGATAGATAGATAGATAGATAGATAGAGTGAGAGAGAGAGAGAAAGAAAGAGAGAGAGAGGGAGAGGAAGAGCAAGAGAGAGAAGAGAGAAGGGGAAGTAAACATGTTAAGGGAAAGGAGAAAGTGAGTAACAGACAGAGAGAGTGAGAGAGAGAGAGAGAGTGAGAAAGAGGGGGAAGAGCGAAAAAGAGAGCGAGGAAGAGAAAAGGAGAGGTAGACATGTTAAGAGGAAGGAAAAAGTGAGTAACATAGAGAGAAATAGAAAGGGAGAGAGAGAGACGAAAGAGACAAGGACAGAAGAGAAGGAGAAAGGTGCGTATGTGTGAGTGAGAGTGGGAGAGAGAGAATGGTAAGAAAGAAAGAGAGGAGACGGGAGAGTGTTGGTAGGGAAGGAAAAGATGAAGAGAAATCGAGAAGATGGATAATTGGGAAATGAGAGGAATATATATATATATATATATATATATATATATATATATATGAACATATATATGAACATATATATATATATATATACACAAAGAGCGAGAGAGAGAGATGAAGGGAGGGGAAAGGAGAGGGAAGAAAAAGTTAGGTTGGTACGTCAGCTTGAAACTTTAGACATAAGATGGTAGAAACAATAGCATCGGAATGGTGAATTAAGCAAATGGAAACTAAAAGAAATAGAAAAAAAAATGAAATGAAGAATAAAAGAAAAGAAAAAGGAAGGAGGAAAAATAGTGGAAGACATGTCAGCATTTGACAGAATATTCCCGAAGTGACAGATTTTTAGTGAAGGAATTTTTGTTGTTTTTAAGGAAAAGGATTATCCGCTTACAGTGCAAATCAATATTTCGTTCTTGTGCATTTTGAAGCACGCAGATTCAGAGAGAGGGAAAAAAGGAGAGAGAGAGGGGGGAGAGAAAGAGAGAGAGAGGAAGAGAGAGAAAGGAAAGAGAGAGAGAGGGAGGAAGAAAGAGAGTAGAAGGAATTAAAATGGTTGGAGTAAAAAGAGAGATAGAAAAAAGAAAACAGTAAAAGTGAGAGGTGATAAGAAAGAAAGAAAGAAAGAAAGAAAGAAAGAAAGAAAGAAAGAAAGAAAGAAAGAAAGAAAGAAAGAAAGAAAGGGGAAACAAAAAGAAGGAAAGAAAGAAAGGGGAAACAGAAAGAAAGAAAGAAAGGGGAAACAGAAAGAAAGAAAGAAAGAAAGAAAGAAAAAAAGAAAGTGAAAGAAATGATAGAGAGGAGATGAAAGAAAGAAGTAATAATAATGATAAGAGTGATGGAATAAAAAAAAGAGTAAATTGATGGGAGAAAAGAGAAAGAAAAGAAACAAAGAGAGAAAATTGATATGTGAAAAAAAAAAAAAAACGAGAAGAAGAAAAAGAGAGAGAAAAAGAAAGAGAGAAATAAGAGAGGAAGAAAGGATTGAAGAAGGAGTAAAAATGGAAAGAAAGAGAGAGAGGAAGTAAAAATAGAGAAATAAAAAGAAGAAAGACAGAAGAAATGAAAACAGAGAAAGTAAAGGAAAGAGAAGAGAAAAGTAAAGGAAAGGGAAAGAAGAGAGAGAGAGAGAGAGAGAGAGAGAGAGAGAGTGAGAGAATAAAGAAATGAAGAAAAGTGACAAAGAGTGCGAATTGGAAGAGAGAGAAAGAAGAGAGAAATAACGGGATAAATAGAAAAAAAGAATTAGCAACAAAGACACACACACACACATACATACATACTCACATACGAAAACACAGACAAACAGACACACAGAGAGAGTAGAGGGGTAGGAGTTATTTATAATTTGTCCCAGGCATTAATGTAAATAAAAAAAACAACGGGATTTTGACTTCGTTTTCTTTTATTAATATTCATTAATCTTAGTTTAGTATAGAAAACAGACGAGGAAGATTGTATTGCGTCAAGTGTGATCCTAGTTGAAAATCAGCAATTCTCTTATTGACTTTTGCTTGGACTAGGAAACTAACAATCTGAAATGTGCAAATAATTCAGCCAGTACATAGGCTTAATATATTACTTTGCTGAGTATAGGTAAGTCTGGGACAAGGTCAAGATAATAGGGTATCCATTGAAGATCGAAATCACTACATTATTGAAATGAGTTAAGCAACCAACTTATTGGGCATTATATTAAAGTAGCATAAGACATGTACCATATTAGGGGTGAACTGCAGTGGTGGTGTGTTTCTGGAGTAAGATAATCTGACAGAGTCCGTCCCTCTTCAGGTTAGGTTTGAATTCAGAATTTTCCTTTTTCTTAGATTGGTTACCACCATAAGGTAAGAAAGTTAAGTTTGTCCTACTATTTAATCCATAGCTATGGGGAGGTGGTTTCATTTCCAAAAGTATTAGAGGGAAGTAAATGCAGCAGAATTGATTGGAACTCTACGCACTGATTTTAGTTTTCCTGCCAATAACCGAAACATAATCCTCTCTCTTTCTGGGTTTTCTTAAAAATGTTATTTAAAATGTATTCCTTTATTTTAAAATACCAGACGGATATTAATCGGGTATTTATTCTGTATTTCTAAAATATCATGCTGCCGTTTATTCTGTGAAAGTTTAAGGCTCTTAAGAAACCATCTATGTGGCTACTCAAGATTTGCTAACACTTCATCCTTCTCAGCACGAGGAGCAGATGTAAGGATTATCCAACAGCTTATTGGGGGATTATTTTTCATTCGTTGATCCAGTTTTGGTTTTCGAAATACATTTTCTACGAGGTGACAGAAGGACAGGAAGATACGCCTTAAAGCCGTCTCTCCTTAATTCCTTGACCCTCTCTTTACGCTGACGTGTTCTTTGCGTGTGAATAATTCAGAACAATTAAAACATATTCATAGAATCCTAGAGTTATGATACAAGATTTGGAATCTTTGATTCATTTGAGGTGGCATAAATATTATAGGTCAGTCGATGAAGAAATGGCAGGAATTAGAATTCTCTTCCAGTTAAGATTACCCCGCCATTAATCTTATAAGACTTTAGAGTTCAATTGTCTCGAGTGCTTTGGGAAAAATTCTCATTCAGGATTTCATTTTCTTAAAACTGAACAAGAAAAGAAAAATCTATTATCGTATATGATATCTATCTATCTATCTATCTATCTATCTATCTATCTATCTATCTCAGTCTACTAATATCTATCTCAGTCTACTAATATCTGTCTCAACCTACTCATATCTATCTATCTATCTATCTATCTATCTATCTATCTATCTATCTATCTATCTATCTATCTCAGTCTACTAATATCTATCTCAGCCTATTCATATCTATCAGGTCATCCCATGAGTTTTGTCCGAATTTTGAATAAAGAAAACAAGTGACCAAATGTTACATTTAATTACAGATTCAATCAACAATGTATTTTCCCTGATTATCTATGACTTCCTTCCATCTATTAACAAGCTTACTAATTCCATTACTGTAAAATTATTTTGGCTTTGATTCGAAGAACTCACAAATGTCAGTTTTAACCTCTTCCTGTGTTACAAAAGCTGTTTTTTTCCAAATGATTCTGTAAGCTACGAAACAAATGGTAGTATGAAGGAGCAAGATCGGGAGAATAAGGTGGATGAGGAATTTTCTCCCAACCAAGTTCTTTGATCTTTTGTGATGTGATTCTTGTTGTGTTTGGTCGCGCATTGTCCTGATGAAACATCACCTCTTTTCGATTCACTAGAGCAGGACTTTTTTTCCTCAAAGCTTGGTTCAAATGCTCTAATTGCTGACAGTATATATGAGCATTAATTGTTGCATTAGGTGGTAAGAATTCAAAGTGGATTATTCCTTGGCGATCCCACCAGATTGAAAGAAGAACCTTTTGCCCATGAAGCTCCCTTCTCGGCTGTGGCTGGTCTCCACCCCCTTTACCAAGCCACTGTCTACGACGCTAAACATTTCGATAAAAGGTCCATTTTTTGTCGCCAGTCACAAGTTTATCGAAAAAAGGGCGAAAATGGAGAGAAGAGCAGATGTCAACTCGGGATTTGAGATTGTTTTCAGACAATTTGAGGCACCCATTTTCCAAGTTTAGGAACTTTTCCAAGTTGTTGAAGATGACGATGAACAGTTGTATGGTTTGAACTGAGAATCACTGCCAATTCCTCAACTGATAAAGCAGGATTTTCTTCAAGGGCTGCTTCAAGAAGCTTTTCATCAAACTCAACTGGACGTCCGGTTCGATCTTCATCTTCAAGGGTGAAATCTCCACCTCTGAATTTTGCAAACCATCTTCTGTAAGTTCTTTCATTCACACATTCCTCTCCATAAACTGAGTGAATGTTTCTAGCCGCTTCGACTGCTGAGTTTTCTTTCTTGAACTCATAAAGCATTATGTGCCTCAAATGATTCTTGGGTACTTCCATGTTAGCAGGGTTTTAATCAAACAAAATTTAATTTTATTGTTCTCTGAAATAAAATTTGATCAGTTTAAATGCATCTAAACACAAAAATAATGTTCAGCTCCATTAGACATTATAAAATACTCTTTAAATTTTGTTCATTTTAACAAAAAGTTAAAATTCAGACAACTTATAGGATGACCTGATATCTATCTATCTATCTATCTATCTATCTATCTATTTCAGTCTGCTCATATCTACCACAGTCTAATTCTATCTCTCTCTCTATCTATCTACTGAAAAGTATATCAGAGGACAGATTGAAAATAGGCGGGAAAGAGGAAAGCAACGCATAAACTACCTAGCGAGTTTGTGTAAATGTATGGCAGAACAAGATTTAAGAGAGATGACAAAAATACAAAATCTATTAAGAGCTACAAAGTGACAGAACTTGTGGAGGGCCATGTTCGCCAACATCCTGAAGGGTCACAGCCCATTGAAGATTAAAAATATAGGGTCGACTTTTCAGGAAGGAAACATCTTGATGTTATCTGTCTAGAGAAGGCGGTCCCAGCGTGCATCACCTTTGGCAAATGCCTTAAAACCATAAAACGGGTTTCACCGAAGCCTTGTGAATGATATTTGAGTAGATGGAACCATTGGGGAGCTTCCGATGGTTCTGCTAGATCATTGTCACCGAGGGTTTGAGTGTGCTGAACCTCTTCAGACTGTTGATCACGCTAGATAACGAGTTCTCTCACAGAAACAGTAACTAAGATCTGCTCAGTATAGTTACAGTATAAGCCACAGTTGGGCTCTGTGGTATTGAACAAATGACAAATGTGCCTGAGCATGCCTCTGCAACGGGGATTAGATAACCGTCCCAGTAGACGGGCATCCTCGGATACGAGTGACCAGCCACTACGATATATATATATATATATATATATATATATATATATATATATATATATATATATATATATAAATATATATTAAAAAAAAATAAAATCTTCAGATACATTGGGTTGTATATTAATATTTATTTATTATTTCAGTTAGATTCCTCGACTAGTGTCGGCCAACATTGCCATTATCAGAAGAAAAAAAATTTCTGCTTGTTAGTAGCAGTGAACTACAGAAATGAATGACTTGATGGAGAAAATGAACTTTTTTTGTAGTTTTCATTTGTTTTTTTATTTTTTTAAATTTTGGTCATGTCTTGTGTTGGTCAAACAGTTTCTTTTAAGTTATTATTGAAGATAAGAGCTGGATGGATTCAGGCTGCTCTGAATTCCCTTGGTCATTTTGACAGTTTTATTGGTTCCTGGAAATGGTGTGTGTCTCTGTTAAGTGTGTGTGTTATTTGGTTCATGGGGAGTGAGTGAGTATTTTGTGTGTTAGTGTGTATATTAGTATGGGTGTGAGTATAAGTGTGAGGACTCAACACCTCCGCAAGTATGTCTGTCTTGTGTGGGTGGGAAATGCGGGTAGGTCCTGATTTGTGGGGTTATATATTAATTCTATCTATGTTAAATTTGTGATTAAGCCCGTCTGTATAAAGCGTTCTCAGACGTCGAATCTACTTACTTTCGTGTCCTTCTAAAATCTGTCTAATGTTATCTGCTCTGAACTTTTCTATTCTCTCAATTATAGTGAATTTGGCATGGGTTTTAAAATCGTGTTTTTCTAGGCGGAAATGTTGTTCTACAGGTAATAATCTTTCATGGAAAGCTGACTTAATTCGATTGCGATAATTATTAATTCTGTAGTGAAAGGGCCATTCAGATTTTCCTACATATTGTTTCTGACATAGTGTGCATTCTAGGAGGTAAATTATGATATGACTTCTACAGTTAGAATCGTGGTAGATTTTGAAAGTAGATTTAGTGATTGAGCTAGTGAATGAATTCGTGTGTCTAATGTGGTTACAGCATAAGCTTCATTTGTTGTTACATGGTTGGGAAAATCCTGTTGTTTTTGTATTTGGTTTATGTTCTGGTAGGATCCACCTAATTTGCATAGTGGAGTACCGACCATATAAATATGGTTGGTACCGGGAAGAGAGGGAGGAATCAAGAGATTCAACCAGAGACTCTGCCCGACTGCGACTCAGTCAACACATTCTCCAGGAACGGTCTTACCAGGAATATACAAAAGACTAAATGTAAATATTGTGTACACTTTCTTGTTTCAATACATTTTGTTCTAAGTACATTTTGTGTTGCATTATTATTCCATGCATTAGTCAAGTTTCAACAGTTTATTACGGATTACCTTGTCCTCTGAAATGTGGTTACTACCTATAATTTTCTTTAGTTTCTTAGGTCTACGATATGATAGAAGGCCGGGTTCCTTAAACAATT